TCAGTATACTTCATTGTCTTTCTTAATAAAAGAAACCACCATGGCCTCCGTGATGGTATTCACCAGGTCACAGTGTTGACCTAGTCCCCACAAATGCCTGAAAGGAGGGCACTGCTTTGGTCCCGGTGTCGCAGATGGGACAGTGAGACAGAAGATCCCAAAGTGCAGTTTGACCCATGTTCTCCAGACCGTGCTGCCATGCGAACTGCAAAACTGCTTTTCACATAAAGCAAATATACTAACACAGGTTTCCTTCAGAAGGTTGCTCTGGAGACTTCATAGTCAGAATGCACTTGGAATTGCTCGATGAAAAGCCCACTATAAAAGCAGAGAGGTGATATATATGTATGAAAGGAGAGATGACAATGTGTATCTGCTACAGTCCAAAACTTTTCTTTCCAGTATTAGAGCAAATTCTTAGTGTGATGGGATACATTTAGCATGCAAAGATTTAACAGCATTTGAGTGCACAAACCTTTATTAAAGTCAGTGTTCAAACAGAGCAAAAGAATGTCCCTAACACAAAAAGTGTGGATTAAATGTAGAGAAAAAATTGCTGGGACATAATGTTGATAATAAATTTTGTAGGTTTTTGCAGAATGCTGTGTAAGTGAGGGCTTTTCATTTAAGTTAGGCTAAACCCAGGTATTAAAGGAGAAGAATCAAAAAAAAAACCAAAAACAAAAACACTGCAGATGCAGCAAAATGAATAAACTCATAGGCACTGCTAGACCAATCTCAGAAAAAGACTGATACATATAATCATGTAACATAAAAATTAGCCTAAATTTTAGCTCAAACCTCGCTAAAAATAGGTGGTAAATGAAATTCATCTATACCTTGTAAAAAAGAATTTCACAGCCAGTGCTCTGGAGGCTTTTTCTCATGCAATTTCAGAACGCTGGTTCCCAGTTCATAACTGAAGATTAGCATTGGTTGCATGAAATAGCAGAATAAAGTATTCCCAATGTATTTAGGAGTTGAATGGCTTTTAGAAGATACAGTTGCTTTAGAACTTTTAGAGCACCAAAAGAAATCTTTCTCCAACATATTAGGCTCTTCTCCAAAGCAAAGGAGGACAACTTCCATCAAGAGCACATCTGCACTAAACAGTATGGGCTGGATCAGCTACATATTGTTAAAAAAAATTTGGGAAGAAGCTCAAAGTAAACAATATAGTTGCCTATTGCAGTATGGTACAACCATCAAATTACTGATGCACTATCCTTTGCGATGTTTACCGATATAAAGCAGATTTTGAAATTGCATTGTTTATTCAATGCTTCATGAAAATTTCCTTCAAGAAAAATCACTTTCCTATTAGCTGATGAGTAATATGTGGCTGCTGCACCTAGGGAAGAGCATTTAGAATACAAAAACAATGTTGACACCAAAAAAAATACCAAAGGGAGTTCTTACGAATGAGAAACACACAGTGTCTTAATGTCTGTCACAACCAGGGAAGGTTGGTAGGTGTAAGCCAGGCTTACATAACTGGGGACATCTGGGGATACATGGTCAAGCAAGAGCACACATCACAGTTTTTTTCTGGCTTCTTCAAAACACAGTCTATGCCTGAGTAGTATCAAACAAGAATTCAAGCCAGGACATTGGTGAAAGCTTTTCTCCCCTTTTTTTTCTGAGAAAAGACTTTTTTTTTTTTTTTTCATCACAGTTCAAATGTTGTGAAGAATGACCTCACTGTCAAACAGTACTTGAAAATTTTGTTTGCTTTTTAGTCTTGGGTACTTGTCTATATAAAGTCGCAGTTCCCAGGTTAGCGATAGTCGGTGTGAACTGATGGCTGTGAGGCACAAACAAAACCTGTTGTACAGGATTTTCACTGAAACACCCACGTTATTTGCCATTACAGGATTTTACAACATTCATGGCAAAGAAATTGCGACTTACACAGAAATCCATTTTCAGGCACTTTTTCACTGACTTTCAGAAACTCTGCCTGTATAAATACTGTTGAATCAAGCCTCAGCTTGATGTCACAATTTGAATTCCAGTTGCTTGCAATTTTTGCATCGGACAGAGAGATGATTCTCTCTGATTCTTCTCTCTGATTTATCCAGCAGCTATTTCACAGCTCTCCAGCAGCACAGAGAGCCTCTGTGAAAACTGACTCTGGAATATTTGACAGGTCTCAAAGTTTCCACTTTACAGAAATAAAACCTCTCAAAAACATGCATCTGAATTTTGCAGTTTAACCCTACCACCATTCCTCACATGCATGATCCTTTCTTAAAAAAAGAAAATACGCATCCAGCGTTGGTCTCTACTCCTGAACCCAACAGAAGAAAATCTGGAATTAACACAGTGTGTCAAATAAAAACATGGTTTTATTCTGTACAAGTCTCTCCTCTCTTTGCCAACCCCTTATCTCTATACAGTAGAGATATATGTCGTGGTGTCTGTAAGAAGCGTTTTGCTGGGTGTCTGCAGGATTTCATATCCTCAAGGTGGAGACCATCAGCCTGATTTTAATCACACTTATATTGGATACAAAACCAAAATCAAAACTCGCCTTTGTTTTTTTTTGTGAAGCAACACGCACTTAACATACATACAAGAAAATAAATACTTAGCAAGTCCATTCAGTTAATACCAAGGACTAATTATTTAAGCTTGCACAAGCAGACCCAGTTTAATCTTTTATAATATTTTCCAAGTTTTTTGTTATTTTAGGTATAATCTCTGTGGCTACACTGTGACAGTATAAATGGTCATTAACATGAATATAGACATCGAGTAATCTACAGAAACATTAACACATGCATAAACATCTTTTCTTACCTTTATTCATAAACTAAGAGTCAGCTTTATTTTAGGAAGAAAGCTTTTTACTGGTGTAAATGCAGTGACACAGTTGGACATAATAGTCACATGCTATGAATTGCCAGATTTTGATTGTCCAATTTGAGGTGGAACAATATCTTGTTAAAAAGGCAACCCAATACTTGAAACTGCAAAAGGAGAAAAAGTTTATATAACACTATAGTGTATCTGTCTAATACGAAATATACTGTTAGATGATGAATAAGCTCAAAAAAAACATATGCTTTTCTGGTGAAAGTCGACTTTCTGAAGTTTTTGTTCTAGACTGTTGGGAAAAAAATGAAAAGAATATTTATAAGTGTTATTGTATAATCTCTGTGAAAATCAACCTATTTATTTATCAATTTGATAACTTTCTCTTTAATTCCAAAGTGAAATGGCATTTGTTAATGAAGTGATTGTCATTTTAAAACCCCTTTGTTTTTTGAGGTACTGTTGTGTACATTTTTTTTTTTTTCCTTTTTAAGTGCAATGCCTATAGTATTACTATGTGAAATTCAGATGAATCGTGACAAAAAACATTTTCAGAACAGGAAATGTTAACATGCTACATTCCTTTCATTGAAAAAATAAAAGAAATTATCACAGAAAGCACATTTTAATTTAATTATATCCTTTAGGTCATTAAAGTAATGTAATTTGCATGTCAGTCCTCTTTTCATCCACAGATTACTTTAATCCTTCATGTGCATTTTTTTTTTCCTCTGCCTTTCTTTCATATTTGCTTTGTTTTGAAATTGCATGCTGTCTGGATTATTCGTGCATGATCTCCACATTAATTTCACATTGAATGTTTACATACTCTGAGAGATTTTCATGGATCATTTATTCTACATGTGCATTTTTTTTTTCCTTTGTTTTCAGTTACTGAACTTTAAATATGCTTGAAATGTAAAAGTGGCATGAAACTTTTGTGACACAAGTAGACAATTATTTTAATAGAGATTTTCAGCACCTAACTTCACATCTTCCAGAAACACATATTCTAAACCACATTATATACTGTGCTTCCAAAATGTAAGGAAATTAATTATGTTCTGAAATTCTATATCTGTTCCATTTCAGAATTGGAGACCAATACTGGTTATATTTCATTCGAGCAATGACAAACACATGAAATTGTCCTTTAAATGAATTAAGAAGGCCTCTGCTCTCTGGAGGTGATCACTTGCAAAGATGTGTCTCTGGGCTTTACATATGTTCAGTATGGGAAACAGTGTAGGACATTGTCTGGTGGACAACACAGATCACTTCAGAGAAACACTATCTGCAGCTCAGCATACGTACCCTCTGGAAATGCCAGCTTTTCTCAACACTGTACCTAATTCCTCGTTTAGTGTTTGAAATAGATGTCCCAAGTAGGCATATCCTGCTTTTACACAGTACAGTGCTATCAGCCCTCACAACTGTCTATGAAGTCAAAGGTTTTATCATGTAAAAAACCAATTTCTTCCATATCAATTACCCATTTGAAGAATTAAGTTGTTCAACATGTGATGAAGTGTGCTTAGCTGCAGAATTCCATCTCGAAAATCACATAAAACTAAAAACATATCCAGAGGAACCTAATGAGTAAATATACATGTATAAAATAAACCAAAGGTCTTTTTCTTAAATTATGAAAAAAAAAAAAGTTCATTAAAACACACTTAAGAAGTTGTTGATGAAGAAGCCAAATAAAACCCTATGGAATCAGCAACAGTTACCAGAAAAAAATATTTGATTTTAATTGGCACAGGGCTGAATTCACATACCTACTACAAGCAAATCAGTCTTCTGCTTTCCGCTTTACAGCCTATTCTTTTTCAGCCGGTTAATTAATTCCTTGCACAGTCTGCTATGATTAAAAATGAGTGGCTCGATCTCAACACATGCTGAGCCATCTGTAGGCCTTCATCCCAGCGAGCCAAACACAATAGTTTCCAAATCAGGAGCTGAAGGTTGTGATTTGAGACAGATTGATCCAGTCTCCAGGGGCTTTGCCCTCAACCTGCAGACCTCTCCGCAATCACCTCTGATTCTTTGCAGTGGCTTAGTTTGGACTGATTTGAGTCACCACAGTTCTCTCCACTTTTACAAACTAGTTGTTTTGTCAGCATGAGTGTGACAACAATTAGACGTCCCTGTTTTTGCCCCATGCCTTTTCTCCTTCACAGTCATTCAATGACAAGCGTAAAAAGAACTTCATCTTTTCACGAAAATTCCCATTCTACAAGAGCAAGGAGCAGAGTGAGCAGGAAACAAGTGATCCAGAACGTAAGTAACCTCTTGGAGACGATGTCACATGCAGCAGCACAAAAAATGAGTGACACGCATGATGCCAGTATCCCACACATCTAGGCAAATATCTGTCGTAGGCAGGCAGGAGAGGTATTACTACTGTGACCAATGTGTGACTGCAGTTTGGATCCAGCTGGTCCTTCCATCCCTGGAAACATCATTTTCAGAAGAATAAAACAGTGACCTTAACTTTTGGAAGAGCAAATGTAGCTCCTCAAAGTTGTTGTGGCACCTGTCATAAATCCAAACTTGTCTTTGATTAAATATTCCCAGATCGGAACTGGCTCAAAATAATGCAAATGTAATGCAAATGCAAACTGAATTACTACTTTTTAAAAGGTCTGCTCCAATCTCTTTTTTGCCTTTGACATTCTCCAAGTTGATTGCCATGGGCAGCTTCAATGAAAGTTTAACAATTAGCTGAAGTGACTGTGCTAACACTTAAAGAAGTAAATCAGATCTTGGAATGTGTATCTCCCTGGGCATTTACTGCTCTCTTAAATTGTATAGAGAACCAGCATTATTAAAAATATATGCTAGTTCCAAGCCCAAATATTGAATTTTTTTTCTTAATAGTTCTCTCCTAAATTTATTCGGTGAGGATCATTTCTGGAACATTATTTATCTGGTTGTTTCTTCTTCCTCACAGCTCCAAAAGCCACATATCATGGTCACTGCCTCTTTCATTGGCTGCATTCCCGTAGAATATGGGTCTAAAGTTGTTTCAGAAAGAAAAAGCAGGGATCCAGATTGTTCAATCAACATGGTCAGTCATGGTAGTATCCATTTCAACTCCACTGACTTCTTCCTTCCTCTTCTGCGGCTGTTCTTCCTTTCTCATTGCTCTCTCTGGGGACTTCCGTGCAGGACATCCCCGGATTAGGTGACGACGGTTATGGAACAAAGACTCTGAGTAAGTTCCCAGGAATGGTCACTGTAAATCTTTTTTTGTTCTGTTTTGTTTTGGCTTCTGTTCCTTCTCTGAGGACCCTCCACTCCCAGCATGCACAAGATAGAGTTTTATTTGTTACCCAGCTGTGAATGCATCAAAAACGTTTCAATCGTTTTGTTCTGCATGACGGTATTAAATAACATACAGTGTATCAAGCAGACACTTTCACTTCTTTTGTAATAACACCTTTTGTTTCTGACAGTATGTTATTGTTCCCATCATGGCAGTTCTGTAGAGTAGCATACCTAGAACTCGTTTTGCTGCCTAGACTGTTCTTTCAGCAACAATCCCTCCCTTTCCATCTCAAGGGAAAGTTAAACATTTTAACTCGATCACATCATGAGGAAATCAGTAGAAAATTATTTTATGCCGTTGCTTCTGCATTTTCAGCTTTTTGCATGGGAGTGTTTGTTACTTTGCTGGATTTTAGATTAGTATTTGTTATTAATGGAAGAAGTTGTTTGCAGACTAGAGAAGACCATGCCTTCTCCAAAGCTAATTTTGGACCCATTTCACCATCAGCAAGCTATTCTCTGTCACACAACCTTAATCAATTTCTTTTTCTGATGCAGCAATCCTGTCTCAAGACTTGGCATTGCAGAACGTGCAATGTGTCAGATAATTGTTCAGAAACAATTTTGCTTCCTCGAAAGTTAGACAAGAAAAATTGTAGAGAGTGAAATATTTGCAGCTGATTTCTATATAAATAGTTACATCATATTCTGTATCCAGAGCTAAATAATTTATCAAAATGCCATTTGCATGTGTTTGGCTGCTGCTTCCTCAACTCTTATTCTTTTTCTTAAGCACCAAGTAATTGGAGCAAAATGTGTGTGAATATTAACACTGCATCGCCTACTGCTCTGTATGTGCTTTTTAATTGCAGGA